CCTTCCCACGGGACCCCACCCCCAAAGAACACCCCATCGTTCGTCACTAGTTTCCCAAAAAAGAGACATTCACACACAGATGGAGTCAATCGCTCACTCGCACTACCTCAGCCTCCCGCACTTGGACCCTTGCCCGGCACATAGTCTGACAGACAAGGCAAGACTATGGTGCCATCGATCACAGTCCGTCCATCCATCTCTCTCTGTATTTCTCTTCCCCCTCTCTCTGTGTGTGCGTGTATGAGTGATCTGCTAGCGCCCACCAAACGAAAAGAGAAGCTATGTGCGCCCACGCACATCACACCCCCTCACCTGAACTGAACGAGCCGTCATGTTCCCCCGCGACTGATGTGCCCTCCAAAGATATTCCCACACGCCACGGAAACCCGTCCATCGTTCCTACTAGCAAACAAACGTGCATCCAACGCCACAGAAGAGAGAAAAAAGCATGTGCCCGTACCAAGCAGGTATCTTGGTCTCTCGTCTCCAGAAACAGATATCCGGGGGAAGAGAGGAAAAAGCCACCTGGGGCGCGCGTTGACAATGCCATTATCAGAAAAAAAACCTACCGCTGCCCGTCGGAGGTAACGATGTAAACTAGTATGGCCTTCGCGGAGATGGTCAAAAGTCCGATGGCTACAAACATCCTTCTTTTGCTCCTTTTGCTGATGAATCCTCGCGGAAAAGAAAAGAAACGAAACGTGCTTCCTCTCTCTCTCTCTCTCTCTCTCTCTCTCTCTGTCTCTCTCAAAAGCAGCTAAGCAGTATTCGAAACAATCGTTAAACCAACTCCTCTTCTCTTTTTCGTCACCCTTCTCCGCCTTTGATTCATCATCAGACTTGAAATCTAGCCAAAAACAGAAGAGACCAGTACGTGTGTCAAGATGGATAACTGTGTGTGTGAGAGAGAGAGAGAGTGAGAGAAACTAATTGACCCGAAGCAATGCAAAATGGATCGGTCTAGACCCCCCGATCCAAATCCCCTCACCCACCTACCTTCCCCCCCTACCTTACCTTTTCCCCCCCCCTCCCCTTCCCAAAGAGACAGCTAATAACCCATACGAATTGCAAGCCTTTGTCTCCTAAACCCTGAACCCTTCCTTCCCTTCCGTCACCTTCCATCCCGGAGAAGATGCACCCCTCCCCCTTCTTTGCCGTGCTCTCACTGTGAGAGGAATATGGAGAGCTATCAGACAATGGAAGTACGCTACCTTTACACTTCACTGCTCGCCCAGAAATCCCGTGGGTTCCCGGGTGGAAGCTAAATGCCGCCAAGCCGTCAAAACACACACACACACCCCCAAGCTCTATCTAAGGTATCCCTCTATTCGTACGTCTCCTCTCCGAAAGCCCGGCTTTGGCATGTTAATAATTAAAAAAAACCTCAAATGTGGTCGAACACGGAACCCGACTTGCCCCCGTTGCGCCCGTCGCGAGGTTCCCATAGCCAACGGCGGTCCTCCTTCTCCCTTAACTCCGTGTCTCGTTAAACTTCCCCTCCTTCCTCTTCGACATTGCCGGATGTGCTTGCCACTGATACTCTGCTTGCTTCTTGTCTTCGCTGACCCCTAATTTGCCCTGGGATGTTGGCCTTTTTTCTTCCTCCCCCCCCCCTCTTTGCGCGCCCCTGAGCTGAGGAAAGCCGTTGTCAAAGTCCGTCCTACTGACCACACGCCCCCTCTCCAATCCTCGTTCAAGAACAAGGTCCCGAGGGAGCGGAAATCGCGGGGTACGGCGGGCAGAGAAGACTACGCGCGCGCGCACTCAGAGAGCTCCTCTCTCCCTTTTCTAACTCCCCCAAATCCTCCCAAATTCCCCAAGGTCCTCTTCAGGGTTTTTCTTCCGGGGGAAAATATCGACAGTTTCCGAACTACGAAGTAGCTTTCCCCGATCCATACATAGTTTTCTCTCACCAAGTAACCCTTCCGTGAATCGCAACGTCCACTTGGGGTAAAGTTTCCCGGGGGCGATACGTTGTAGCGGCAAAGCGAGCGACGGGGCGGGAGGCGATCAAAAAATCAAGGATGGATGGGCGGATAATGTAGATTCAACGAGTAACAAGTCAGCCTATCCTGGATGTCTAGCTACGTCTCGACAAAGAGGCAACACCTCCTTGCGGTCACCTCCCCTAAAGTGACTACTTCCAGCCGCAACTGCGGCGCAGAAAACAGGTGATGTTTCCGTACACACAGATTAGAGCTTCCTCGCATCTGCCACAGTCCTTCAGCCTCTCCCTCCCCAGGCAATTCTCCTTCTTAGCTCGCGTGCGCGAACATGAATACTCCATATGAAGAATCCAAACCACAAACATATGAACAACAATCCGGGAGTAGAAGTGAGCAGATACATGGCATCATTTTCTTTTGCGACTGACTAGACGTCAAAAAAGGCCTGTAAAAAAGACTCCTATAACACCACCGCCAGCTTGCCCTCATGTGTTGTTTGGAATGAACAAAAAATATGAACTCCCAGTCTGCCCAAAGGTTTGATTGAATGTCAGGAAACCTACGCCCCAGAATATGCCTCTCTCTTTTCGTGCGCCGTTCGCCCAAGGAGAAGCTAGCTGTTCATCCGTGACGTGGGGAAATGTCCGAATCGTCTTCAAAGCAGAACTCGAGATCTCGTGCGCCCAATAGTCGTGGCTGCGACAGCCTTTGCCAGCGCTTCTCTAATGCTGGCAATCATCAAGTCGTGACGTGGAAAATGCTTTTGCCTCGCGGCAGTGGGCCCGTCGGATTTGCGAATCGAATGGATCGGGGTTTAGGCCGTGGATCCGAACAAGTCCGTCGAGGAAGGGGTGGAAAATAAAAGGGTGAGGTCGCAAGCGAGCTCACAAAACAACACATTTACTCTTTCCTTCCCTTCTGCCCACTTTGCGGCGATAGCGGTCGCCACCCTCCTTGTCGTCGTACCTCGCTCCGGCATCGCCATTGATGGGCCGGGTGCTGCTTCGTCCGCCGGGCTGCGGCCTCGAGGCGGCCTGTCGCTGCCTCCGCAGTATTCTCACAACGTCATAGAAAGCCTTCTCCACGTTTATGCAATTCTTGGCCGATGCCTCCACGAACTCACAGCCCAGCTCGCGGGCCAAAGCGTGTCCTTCTTGTGTCGACACTTCCCTCTCGGTGACTCTATCGCTCTTGTTGCCGACGAGCATGATGGGCACGGGCGCTTGTGGGCTGGCTGCAGAGATTGGCGAGCCTGGGTATGACGGCGATGATGCACATGACTCCTTGACTCGCTGGATCTGATGATGAAACCGCTTGATCCGTGAAAAGGAGGATCGTGATGAGATGCTGTAGACGAGAACGAATCCTTCGCCGTCTCGAATCCATTGATCTCGAAGGGCTGTATACTCTTCTTGGCCGGCGGTATCGAGAACTTCCAACATGCATGCTTGGCCGTCAATGACGACTTGTTTGCGATACGAATCCTCAATCGTGGGGTCGTACTATTTACGGTGAAAAGCACGGTCAGCAGGGGGCTCTTGGCGGTAATAGCAGCGGGGAAAGGATGGAATTTGGGGCAACGATCGGAGGAGTCGATGACCGACCGAGGAGAAAGTGGCGATGGGGTGCAGGATGGAATGGATTGAGAGCGGCGACCTACTGTTTCCACGAAGTGTTGCAGGCAAAGCTGGATTGTCAAAGCGGTCTTCCCCACGCCGCCGTCGCCCAAGACCACCAACTTGTACAGCACCATTTTTCCTGCCATGATGGGCAGCTATCGGAGGCGAAAGACGATAAAAAGAAGGCGAATCTTTGTCGTTGAATTAAGCCGCTCGATTGATGATGAGTAGCGAAAGTCAAAGCGAGGCAGAGGTAGAGGGGCGATTCGCGGGGGGCGGAACGCGAAGTGGGTGGTGGTTCGTCGGTGGTTGTGAAGGTGGTGGTGGAGGAAAAGACGACGAACGCCAGTCAAGACTCGATAATAGAATAGGCAAGGTAGAAAAAAAAAAAAAAAAAAAAGGGGGGGGGGGGGGGGGGGGGGGGGGGTGGGGGGGGGTGGGAAAGGGGGGGGGGAGAAAAGGAAAGAGACGCAGAAAAATCTCATATTAGAAAAGGAAAAGAAAAAAAAAAAAAAAAAAAAAGAAAGTAAGACAGGTTGGTAGGTAGGTAGGTAAGGTAAGGTAAGTGGCAGCGAGGCAGCGAGTAGTAGTGGAGGCCTAGAGGTGGTGGTGGACTGGTGGTGGTGGCCGCAGGAAGTTGGGAGCAAGGTAGGAGCCCAAATCTTGTTGGATTTTGGAGCCCGAGCCCTGGACGTGGACAGTGGACTCTCTCCTAAGCAGACTGGTGGATTGGATCGACCGGACAGGACCCGACAAGCCAGTCAGTACGTAGCAGCAGCGACAGCGGTAGTATCAGTAGCGGCGGCAGCAGCAAGCACCAACGCAGCACTGTGACTGGGGAGGGGTCGCTCGCGGTGGGTGGTCTGCTCTCTCTCACTTTCTCTCTCACTTTCTTTCTTTCTCTCGCTCACCCTCCTTCTTCGTTTCTGTGCCTTGGCCTGGTCGAGGCTAAGGTATGCTGGGCTAGACCGGCAACTGGCAACTGGCAGGTTGGCACACGGTCGCGTTGCGGATGCGAATCGATGCGGGCAGGTTTGGTGCAAAAGTAGGAAGGTAGTCAGGTACTGGAAGATTGCGCGCACACAGGCCGTATGACCGTCCTGTCTGACCCTCGGGCTGCTTTGATTTGCTTTTCTCTTTCTCTCCTTCGTCTCGTCTCGTCTTGTCGTCTTCTTCGTCTTCTCGGATTGGCAAAAGGTGTGGAGAATTGACAGACACTGACTGGACTGGCGGGTCTAGCTTGGGACCTGGGCTTGTGTTAGATGCTTGGGTTAGGAAGAAGGATGATACCGGGATAAAGGCGAAGCGGAGCGGAGGCGCACAGCCGACTGTTGGCTAGCCCGCCCTTCTCCTGAGAGGCTGTCAACCCTCGTTACCTCCACGCGCCAACCCGAGCCACCCAGCTCTGTATCCGCCGCGACTTGGGCTGGCCGGGATGGGACGGGGAAGGGGACTGAGTGGCAGCGAGAGGGGGAGTAGGAGTGGGAGGGGGTCGACGAGGAAACAGGGGTGCAGGCACGGGCTGGAGACGAGCGAGCCACAGCAAGCAGTTCCAATTCCGCCGGCGGGTTGGGGATTATTGGTAACAGCGACGACGGCGGCAGCGGCAGCGGCAGCACCAGCGGCAGCAGAGCAGACAAAAGCAGACGAGGGTTGCGGTGCGGTACGTACTCTCAAGCAAGCGTACGCATGCAGTCAGGTAGGTAGAAAGGCAGGGCAGAGCAGAACAGGACTAGACAGGGTACCTGGGTTGTTGGTGCTGGCGTCGCATCGGAGAACGTACCTTTGGTGTGTGGTACGTGGATAACAGAGTACGGTATCGCAATACCGCCGTGCTCCGACCTCGATGAATCGTTCAGTCGCGGCTGGTTCCTTGCGCAGAGGTATGGTAGGTCCAGGTATGGATATGGAGATGTTGAGGCAAGCCGCAAGACGCAAGACGAGGGCCGGGATATGGCGTGGATTGTCACGGTATGCCGGCAGCGTCGTCGCGCCTCCGAGGTGCGGACAAGGGCAAGCTTTGGTCGGCTCGGTTCGTCGTGAGAGACGTCGGTCGGAATTGGAGGGTTGCTGATTCAACTGAATCAAAAGTCGGCGACTGGGCAACCCCCCAAGTCAGCTCCAAGGCAGTATCAAGATGTATCCCAGTACGAGTACGTCCTTGTTTCGCTCGCTCGGCTTCTCTCCTTCAGTGATGCTCAGACTGGCAGCAGGAAATTCCAGTAGATAGGCCACGCGAGATTGGCGAAAGAATAGGCTGGACCGAGTGAGAAGACGGCTCTGACGAAAGTGGATTTGAGCTGTATCGACGACTGGAGGGGTGAAGACGAGGCAGCTGGGCAGTCAATGGGGTAGGAGGGGCAATGATCAAGGATGAAGCCAGCGACGGGCGACGGGAGACCAGCAAGACGCTGTTTGGCATGCGCTCGGTCCAGCACACGAGGGAGGGGAAGGGGGAGGGATCGAGAAAGTAAGATGGATGCGTAAACGTACCGCTAGTGTTTCTGTGCAGCGACGTGAGGGGAAAGGAATGAATCAGCGTGTATTTGTTCGTACCCTGGGAATACGCAGCGAACAAAAGAGGCGAGGACCACGAGGGCGCGGGCAGGAATGGAATGCGGCGACGTATCGGCACCTGATATACAAGTGACAATCAGCAACCAGCAATCGCCTCAGCCCAAAACAAGACGAAGCGAGACAAGTTTATCAAGCTTTGTTTGCGACGTTGGCCAACGCCAAAACGCCCACCCAACCGGCAGTATCAATGCAGCTTACGTTTCTTCTTTTCATGATTCTGATGACGATGCCAGAAAGGCGTGTCAATGCGATTGCCAGCGGCCCTGCTTACCTGTATGGTGATGTGGTGTTGTGGTGTTTTCCTTTTTTTTCCCACTCCTCATTGATGGATACGTCTTGTTTGATTCGCTAGAATGAAGCATGTCAGATAGCGAGTGGTCACTGCCAGGTCCCAGGTTGCATCTCGTTTGGAGAGCAGGAAGGGGGTGCTCGTGAATTACACCTCAGGATGCAGACAGATGCAGACAGATGCAGACAGATGCAGTGACAGCCCTGGGCAGTAGGTAGGTACCCGACCTCGATGATGGGAAATGGAAAGAACCAACGTTTGGGTAATGCACCTGACGTTCCTCACTCCGTCCCCTCCCACAGCTCCTCTCCTCGTGTCCATCTCTTGCCCCGAACACTTCACCCCAATAAGAAGGTACGCAGTGCAGTACCCAGTACCCGATATCACGTCACAGATTGATAGCAAGACGTGTGGGTTGAACTATCTGCGAGCTTGAAACCACGACTGTCGACCGGACGGCCGCCTCCAAACTGAGTAGCTGAGATCCCTGGTCATGGTGGGAGAGCAACATTTTCACTTCCAAAGGTACCCATACCTTACATCATTCACAGACTATCCGTATCACGTACCTGAATCAAGCACGAGGCTATGAACCCGCCTTCAGCCTGGACATCGACTTGGAACACGGCTATCGAGACCCAGCCGCGAGCGGCATGACCTGGATGAAGGAGCCTCGCAACACTGAAGAGGCTCAGCAGCGGATGTACCGGTATGCATCTACCCTTTTGGCACCCGTATGCCGTGGACGAGGACTCGGCGGATACGGAACACGCCAACCGCCTGCCGTCAAGTCGCCGCGGTCAGATACCTTCTTGCCATGTTGATTCAGAGAAGCTCTTGAGCTACGGGGTTCCCTGCCCTGTGCAAGGTGACGTTTGTCTGGTCAGAAATGCAACAACACCACGCCGGCTTGGGCTCCGACTGCAGCTGCGGGTTGCGAGCTGCATGTTTCCTCTTCCCAACATTAGCGCGACTGTCCTAACGAACCGGCTGGTCTAGGGCCCAATTGACAGCCCGCCCCAAGTCACACAGCCCGCGCTGGCGCATCCGCCCATCCTCCCGCCCACGCCCGCCCACTCACACATGCCATACACCGGGCACGACGGGCCAGACATGCCAAATGTACGAAGCAGACACACCTTTATTTATTTATTTTTATTTTTTATTCCCTTTTTATTTTTTTATTTTTTTTGGCTTCCTCATCTTCAAACCCCCC